TAAATATATACATACATATTATATATATACATATATATGTATATATATACACATACACACATACAAAGCCACATAAACTCATACAAATATATAAATATAAACATTCATAAAATTCTAAATATTGGCTTTTTTCTAAGATGTTGTCAATGCTTCATAAATTTATAAATATTTTACAAAATTTACTTTGACATATTCAAACCCCAAAGCATAACATTCTTACTGTTCACTCATGATTTATTTCCTATCTGGCAAAATTGATTTATCACCTCTATTATGATTGGTTTTATGTCACTTCTTAGTACTTAGAATCCTTGATTTTTACCAAAGCTAATTCCCTTTTTAAAAATTTGTTTGAAGCAGTTTATTATCGTGTACTTCTCAAGGACCTGCATTTAAATTGATTTGTCGTTGCTTTCCATTCCATTGACCTAAGCCCTGTCCTGCAGAGAGGATGGTGATGGTCAGTAGCAAGGAGGAGAACCCAGCATGGCAGCGACGCCCTTCTGACAAGCAAGCCCCTCTGTTTTCTCATGTGTCATCTAAATAGCTCACACCTGTGCAGGCAATTTAGCATGGGTCAGGAAGGGTACAATAGCCACACAACAGCCACAAGGGCTTTCTCGGAGATTTTGGCTGAGCATATTAATTACTTCTGTGCCTGGTCATGATCTGAGCGTTCTTTCAGTGGTGATGTTACTCCTCATGTGGAGCAGAAACTTGCTTTTGATTTTTCCCTTAATTGCAACATCTCAAGCAACCCAGTGCCTGCTAATAATAAAAAGAGATACGGATCTTGTACTGAGGAAGGGACATTGCTGACTCAGCTGCTACCACTGATTTTCTACAACTCCTTCTTTTCAAGAACAGCCCAGCTTCATTCCTTTGTGACCTGAGAGACCCGTCACACACAGGAGAAGCAGCAGACCTCCAGCCATGACCCCGAGTGCTGAGGCCAGCCCAGGTACATGGGAGCTGGGCAGTGCTGGGGGACCAGTGGTGGCCACCATCCACCCGCCTGGTCACCTCTTCTGGGAAGAGCTGGGGGACAGCCCTCTCAGCAACACTTGGAGATTTGGCAGGTGAATACCTCTTTTACACCTGCAAATGGCCTGTTCCTTACAAACAGGATTGTGTGTCAAGTGAGAGGAGGGGACCGGTGACCCGGGCGCATCCCTTTAGGAGCGTGTGTGCGGCCGGGATGCTGGGAGGTGGTTCCTGTGGCTCTCCAGGGGATGCTGACACGTGGATCACATCTGCAAGGTTGTGTAGGCTATGTTTGAGACCTTGTAATAAAGAGCCCTTGAGCTAAATAGGTTTTCCCGGGATTCACTACCTTTAGCCAAACAAAAAAACCCACCCTAGCCTTTTACGCTGATTATGATAATCATTTCCTTCCAGGGGATGGGGAAACAATTGCTTTAACTGTTCATAACACCCTCCTTGGGTTGAAACAAGTCAGTCTTTCTTGATCCATTTTCTGAACTCTGTTCATTTTGGTCCTGCTTTCTAAATCTCTTATAACCCTTGTTACTTTCTTCTGAATTTTCTCCACCTGCTTCTCAACTCCTTCAGAACAGGATCTAATACTCTATCCAAAACCTTATCAGTAGTGAACAAGGTGAAGCAAGATGCTGTCTCAAGCACACAGGGATGTCCCTACATCCCCAGAATCTGGCTTGCCACTTTCTCAGTGTCACGACTGAGGTCTCAGTCATTCAGTGTCATTTACAGATATTCTGAAATGTTTCTGCCTGTCTCAGTTGTTAACATTTTGTGTTTGAGCATTTGCCTGAGATTCCGAGTGTAATTTCTGCCATCTCAGAGAGGACTTGGATGGAAGTGGCTAAGTTGAAGACAGCGAGATTCAGAGAGCCTTGCTGAGTAACCCACCATTGCCCAAACATCGCCCAGCCTGGTTCCCAAACACAGGCGGCCAAGCACCCAAAAAGCATCCTGCCCTCTGCCCCAGCCCAGCCGGGGTTCAAGCCTGGGACAGAGATGGTCACACTCTCCACCCGTGTCCTAAAAGAGGCTCAGCCTGTTTAGAAGTCCGTAGATGTCGGACACACAGTGAAATGCGGTGGCCGTGGAGGCTGCTGAGCAGCCGGGACGGAGGAGGACTGGCCATGCCTCTGGTACTCCAGTTTGATTTTTATGGATGTGAAGACTTCTTCCTTCTCCGGGTAATTTGTTTGAGCTTGGCTTGCAATGTCAAGTCCAATAATGCGTATGTGCCACAATTTAAGATTGTGTACACATGGGTGATTACACAGCATGATAATTTGTTATGCCACACTAATTTAATGATATGCTAATACATTCACTATTAGATTCCCTCCTTCCTTAAGAGCATGTGATTTAGCTCGTGTGATTTAGCAACAGGTTGACTCTCATTTAGCTTGTGATCCACCATACTCCACATCTTCTTTGTTCTACTTTTTTTGAAATGCATATTCTGTCACATTTGAGCTTGATCACATCTTTCTCAATGTAGCATTTTGAATTTTTTCTTCACTGAGTTCCATCATATTGGATTTAGAAAGTGTGTCCAGCTTTTTGGGATCACCATGAATTTTGACCATATCTTCTATACAACCTGTAACTGCTTCCAGGTCTGTATCATATGATCAATGAATGTTATGTTTTTGAGTAAATCAATAAAGGTGTCAATGAAATTATTGACTAGGACTGAGAGAAGCTTTGATTTTTTGTAAGATTCTCCCTTTCTCTCCCACTTCAGAAGCCCATGGTTTCACAATGGGTCAAGGAGATATATGTATTTAAAATAGTCTTTTCAGCTGCATTAGATTTTATTTTACAATAATTTTATTTTGACAATGTTTTCCTAGGTTTATATAAAAACGTTACACTGGAACCCTATCAAAAGCCTCAATGAAGATCTATCACAGCCTACTGTTTTTACCTAACCCATTAGGCCATTCATCCCATCAAAGAAGGAAATTAAAAGTAGTTGACATGATAGGATGTTGACAAATCAGTGCTGCCTAGATTTTATGACCGTATTATCCTCTAGCTACTTATAAATTGATTGTTTAAAAAAAATTTCACAGCAGAATCTGTCCAGGGATTGTGTTGGGGCTGCAGTAGGTTATGTAAGGCACTCGTCTACATTTCAAAATTTTCACACTTCAGCTGTGCTGCTACGGTTAAAACAATAACAGCCTTCCACAAACCCGCTGCCAGTGTCAGTGCAGTTCAACTGGAATAAATATGCTAATTCCAAAACATGTACTCTGCACCTGATTATTTGGTTCAGCAACTGAAATAAAATATGCCACATCTCTGCTCCAGCTTTACTGACCTTAGTAGTTCATCAGCAATGACCGTCCTCATTAATATGGGTGTGCCTGTAGTACTAAGGCTGACACGCAACAATCTGTAATGCTGTTGTACAAGAAACAGCCTGCTTGTTAGTCCTGAGATCCTTTCCAGCTTGCAGGAAGGATCACCCTATTTTAGGAACTCCTGAAAGCTAAGACAAGGTAAATGGTTAGCAGAATTTCAGCTGGAAGTGATCAAGGACTTTCTTAGTTGTAAAATATCAGCACAGGACTGCTATGAGTGATGCTCTAGAGCATAACATCTGTTAGGAGACAGTCAAAAAGAAGTGCTAAGCTGTTCTAATGACCTCTCTCTCTAAATTTCATTTTCATTAGAACCACTGACATACAGCAGGAAAATTTTGAGCCTTCCACAACAGGTATTAAATATGAAAATTCCTTTATACAAATAATGAGCCAGCAGGGTACTGAATCTTTAATGTTATTGGTCTTACTGCCAAGACCTTTCACAGGTTCTTTGTATACCACCTCTCCATGGTGTACATAGCCTCATTCATTAATTACGGAGATGTCAGCTTCCACCTCCAGTTGACTCATGATGCCAAAATTCATCATCTCTGTGTTAAATTTTCAAACAAACATCTTTCTTGGACTCCCTCCCTGCTTGGGAAGAGATCCCTGAGGGTGTCTTCCAACCCACTTCATTATCCTCTCTTTTTCTGATGGCTATGAAACAATTGACAACTGATGGGCTGCTGGAATGCTGCAGCCACCGCTCTTCATTTTAATTAATGGCATCTCAATTTTTCCCTCGGATTCTCTCCTGTATCTGCCTACCTGTTGCTGCTCATCTAATGGTTGAGTTGTAAACTCTTTGCATTAAGGGAAATCTTTTCATTTTGAATATAATGTTGTCTTGGTCCACAGCTAGGCCTCCAAATTGTTATGATAGTATACATAATGAATGAGCAATAAAAGTCCAATGATTCAAGCAACTAAGCACTTTTCTATGCCAAATAAATTCATATGTGTCATAGTATTTCTGGTACCTCCTTTATTTAGACTCAGAGACTCCACACATCTTCATGCCAACTGTGGCTTCTATCTTATCAAGAAATGTGGCCAATGCAAAGTATTGGTCAAATTTTCTGCTGAGATGCTAAAGCCATTCCCAGAAGGAGTCTTGTCTGCCTTGGAAGGAACTAAAAAACATAAAGTGGACTAAAAGTCCTCCTTGGCTATTCTGTTGCAAGCAGCAAAAGACACACAGATACGCTCCAGGGTTCCCCTTTCTAAACCAAATTCTTTCAGTTACTTCTGCCCAATAACGACTGTTTACAAATAATTCAAATTTTACATGCAAAAGAGACTATTATTCTTTCTGTTAATGGCACACAAAGGTCTGATTCAAAATCAGTGCATGATATTCTATACCTATAGTATTAATGACTATAAATCAAACCACATCGATAGCATTGCATAGCTGATTCTGGCATTTGCCAAATTCCTCCAGATTTTAAATGTGTCTTCCTTTAAATTCAGATAAAACCCTATCAAAATCATGTTATTGAAAATTAATTTCCTGACACTCAAAAGGCTGTATGTCTATAGTAATAATTTAGTGTGGTCTACAAATTGTCTTATTGGAAAAGCATATTTTAAACTAATGCAAAATTTAAAATGTAATAAAGAGTGTACTCTAGTTTTCTCAAAAAATTTAATTGCAGAATTATTTACAGGAGATGAACATAAACAATACATAAACCAATTGAAAGAGGCAGCTTCATAAAAGAGCCATGGGGCAAAATAGTGAAGCACATTTTCTTACAATCAACTGGAGGTGAGTAGAGAGTCATGAAAAAAGAATAACTCAATAATAAAACAATTCTCAAATATGTCTTCAAAGTAACAAATAACATTCTGGTAAAGAAGATATTACTGAGAAGCAAGAAATTATTGTAGCAATGAAACAACATACTGTACATTCAATTTAGGTATCCTGCATGCTACTAAATAGAATTTATCAAAAGAACCATAAAAGCATGAGAAAGAGAATTACATAAAATAGTTTAATTCTAGTGAAGTGTAGCTTTGTACAGATGGTGAATATTTGGCACTCAGTTCATCCTCATTGTTGATATGATTTCTTATGTATATATATATTTATATATATTTATATATACTTTTAATGATAACTAAACAGCTAGTTTCCTGGTTCTAACATTCCTTGAAATTCTATAGGAGGCATTTAATTTAGTCCTTAGGCCACACTTGATTATTTTGGCATGTCACATGGTAAATGAAAGTATGAGTTTCATCTCTGCACAGAAAATCCTGCACAGTCATAGTGGCTTTTCTTCAGGAAAGAACAGTTCTAGAGCAGTATAAGTCAGGCTACTTGAAAGGGAACTTTTCTTAATTCAGGAAATTAATATATAAATTGAACTAAGGAATACATACGTGCCGAGCCCTTTTAAAATGAGATGGCCATAGTATTAAACCTCCAAAGGGTAAATCAAAGCATGGATACAAGCATGTGGATTCCACAGGTAATTATAAACAAAGCTAATATTTCTTTGTCAGAGACTTGAACCCAATACCAAGCCCTCCGCTTGACTGGGACTACCCTGGAAGGAAGAACTAGATCCTACAAAGTAATTGCGTTCTTGCTAACTCCTCCCTACCTCAGCAGGACTTGCTGAGTCAGATGCTGATCTGAATTATGCTGATCTGAATCTGACATTTCTTTCTGATACCCGTTTCTTTGCATTGATTCCAGTACAACCGAGAGCAGAACTTAGCCCGAAGCTTTGCAATAATTCGTCTCACAAATAAGAAACTTGCATGAGGGTTTAGCTTTAGGAATGGGAAACGCTGTGCTGAATGAAAGAGAAAAAAAAAGGGAAGGAGAAGAATAATCCTCAATAACAGGCTGTTTTGGTGAATAATGACCACATCTTCAAATAAGCCTCCCCCTTGTTTAAGCTTAGGTGAAAATATTCATGGGTTTGTACTAGAGAAGTAAAAAATCCTGCCCAACAAAACCAATTTAGAAAAATAACAATTTGGCCTTAATAAAATAGAGAATTAAATTGCCAGCTGATGAAAACTGTTCTGTGTTTGCTCAGTTAAAGAGCAAGCGTGTAGACATACTAATTTACATTATCTATGATCTGACTTCAAAAGCCCAGTTCCGTTTCAGCAGGGAAGGGTAATGGGAGAAACAGGCATGTGTGGGAAGGTGGGACCGTGAACATGATCACATTCTTCTGTGATCTTCTTCACTTGTGAAATGCGAGAGGCATTTCAGGAGAAGGGATCTGGAATATGGTTTTTAGATATAATGAATGCCATGGCCTCGTGCAGCTATTAGAATTTTATTTTGCTAAGAGGAGCTGAATCAGCCTCAATATGCTGGCCAAATTCTCTTTTGGGTAAGTTTCCATTTCAATTTTGGTTTTATAGTTGCTGTCCTGAACAGCCTATTATGTAGTTAAACAGCTGCAGTGCTACACCATAGAGGTAGCTGCATTTCAGAGATAAACTAAGCGGTTTCTGTGTATAGAGAGGGCTTTAATTCCTGCCAGGAGTCTGTGTATGCATATGAGCAGGCCATAAAACGGCTGTTCCCACAAGATGGTCCCTGGAGGTGGTGGTGGTGACTGGCTGCAGAGGGGCTGTGGGGCTGCACCAGGCAGTGACCAGCGCTGCGAGGAACTGCCACGCTCTGCGGGAACCGAGCATTGACTGTGGTTCCTGGGACCAACTGCCACGGACCATGGCATCAAAAAATTGTTTGATGTATACATTTGGATGCATAGAGCCTCTTTCTGTTACCTGCAGTGTGAACTGGCTGCCTGCCGATCCTGCCCGTGCAGAGGGAGGCATCCCCATTGCTCTGCCCTAGACAGAACCCTCGTGGTTAGAGCTGAGCCCCAGTGAGGAGCAGCTGCCCAAACCCCAGCTGAATCCTGATGCCTTAGTGCCATGGCCCACCCTGTCCCCGGCGGTGGCATGGCTGGAGGGCAGGCTGGGGGGAGAAGAGGGCGCTGGGCAGTTGTGCCGCAGGGGAAGGCAGCTGGTGCAGCTCGTGCCCCTCGTGGGTCTCTCCCATGAAGAAGGCGGCGGGAGGATGCAGTTGAGAAGGAGACACTTGCTGAGATCCCTGGCCAAGAGGGCTCGGCCGCGGGTGCCATCAGCTCCCACGCCTGCCGCTGGCCAGGGCTCTCCTGCCCTCCACGGCGGGGACCCTCGCTGCCATCGTTGTGAACTGCTGTTTAAGCAGAGATTGTTTTGGAAGCTTAATTTGCTGCTTTGTCCCTGTCTACACCCTGGAAGGGGCGGTGTGAGCATTGCCCTCACCTCTGCTTTGCTGGGCTCTTCCCTTGGTTCTGCGAGTCTTCGCTTCTCCTTCAGCACAGGCTTGGACCACAAGGGTCTTCCTGGCTGCTGGGAGGGTGGTGTGGAAGGAAACTCCTTGGGCAGCGTGGGGACGGGCAGGAGAGCCCCCGGCATCCTGCCGTGCTGGCTCACCAGGCTGTGGGCAGGGTGACCTGCCCCAGCTGCAGCCCAGCCTGGAGTCGGTGCGTCGGCTGGTAAAGTGCTTGGAGATCCTTCTGGATGAAAGGCACTATAGAAACCTAAGTGTCAACCTGTCCCACACCAGGGAGCACCTCTCTAGCCATCAAGGGGTGTGCTGATATTCCTCACCTCCAACACAGTTTGCCAGTGGTGCCACTACACCATAAGATACCCAGGGAACAGTAACGGCAGTAACGATGCTTCATGGTCCATGTAAGCTCTCTGTCCAACACTGAGGCTCCTGCCACGCAGGATTTCACAGCTTTTCAGCAGGCACAGCTCCACACCTGGAGCTGCCAGACCAACTTCAGATCTCCAATTAACACCTGCAAACCAACACCTGATGGGTCAACCTGCCACCAGCGCCGAGGAGGACATCAAACCCACTGACCCACCATGCAGGGCAGGCTCAAGGCTGAGATGGGCTGACCTGGAGGCTTGTCGCTCTGGGCGCAGGGGAGCCAGGGTGGACCTGTGTGGTGAGGACCTGGCCGAGGGTGCCACGGGGCCAGGAGCCTCTCGAGGGCACCGCTCCAGCAGGGCACAAGGAGACGCGAGGTCACGTGTGGCACATCAGCATGTGGCAGTTACTTTTCCTTGCAAAAACACCCAATGACCAAACATTCCCTCACTTGAAACTAGATGCAGAGCTGAAGAAGATGAAACTAGAATACTAGTTTACTGATACAGCAGGACATGGGCTTATTTTAAAACAAATAATTTCTATTATATGAAATGTATTTTTTTAATATATATATATATATATGAAATCCACACACCTTCCTATGCACGCTTTAATTCCTCCCTGATTGATCTCAAATTCAACATTGTGACAAGGTTTAAGCAAGAATTAAAATGTCATTTTTTGGTATTAAACCGTACAACATTATTAATCTTTGCACGCTGCCAAAGGCCATTCTAATCAGGTCAGCATAAAATAATAAAACACTTCATAATGTACTTCACCAATTTACAGAGAATTTAAAATCTAAAAAAAATATACAAAGCAAAAATAAGTATGGTGAATATCAACAATTTTACCAGTCAGATCTTTTTCTTCATTTATATTTTCAGAATTCTGTTTATTATACTTGTGTTTTACAGGCAGCGAAGAAATGAATGGAGATTTTCTATAATTTTCATCCGCTAAAATAAGTATTAGTCCAATTAGTATTCAACTGAACACTAGACTATTTTGCTATCTAGCTGTACTTTGTGGGTCTACACCATGATGTCTCTAAGTAGAAAGCATTCCACTTCCTATCTTTATGTTTATTTATGTTCCTCCTACGTTGGTTTTGTAACTGAATTTTGTTTTTATGATGGGGGGTCAGATTACAATTGATCTGTGTACATGTTTATTAAAATACCACATGCTGTGTTTCTCATGTCAGGGACTAAAGCAATTTGACTTTGATTTATTTGCAACACAAGTATGATAAGCATAATGTTATTTTTCTAAACTAACCAGATGTACAATATGTAAATAGAAATGGCTTGTTTGCCTTTAAATGATAGAATGTTACCTGTACAAAAATTTATATATATTGCACTTTGAAATGTAACATGCACAGATAACATATTATCAGATTTTTCAGTAGGCATCTAGTTTACTTTTGATTCCTTTTTTTGTTTTTTTTTTTTTTTTGAACAAAGGTGGAACAAACAGAAATCATAACTATCCCAAGCTTGTATTGAACATTTTATCATAATGGCCTGGGAAATGTAAAATACAGGGTTGGCGTCATTCACACAGGCCTTTTTTTTGGCCTGAGAACATCCAATAAAATTTTAACGTATCAAAACCTATCAAAATATGATTCTAAAATTAAAGACTTACACGGACTGCTCCAAATCAGCGTTACAAGTCAGCTGGGATCTAAGCTTATCTGTAATCTATTGTTTTTACAATTTATCTTTATAAAGTCTGATTACTGTCAAGATTAATTAAAACTTGTCTTAATCGCATGATCTGCTCCTGCAGGTGGGGGCTTTCAAGCGAGTAAGTCAAGTGTGATTTCTCCTTGAAGTGTACAGGAAAATCAGATATAAAGTATCAGCTGCCATCTATAGATATATGTATAGGGGTGTGTGCATTTACTTTAAATTTCTTAAATCCAGGAAAGACACTGGCTTTAGTTCTTTGTGGTTATTTTTAATTAGCAGCTCCACTTTAAATAAGATAGCAGTTTTCAAGACTAAAGAGGCCAATGTCTGCAAGTGTATTTGTATTTAAAATAGTACAACAAATACAGGAAGTAGCATCGATATCGTACACTACCCAGGATTCAGCTCTTTCCTTAATAGAAAATGCCTTGAAAACATGAGGGATGGGAAATATAATGTTTTCATCTATAGAAGAATATTTCAGGGATTTATTCTTTTTTTTTTTTTTTTTTTTTTTTTTTTTTTTTTTTTTTTTTTTTTTTTTTTTTTTTTTTTTTTTTTTTCATTTTTGAAGGATATACATTCTTCTTGGTTTTTGCTTCCAAATATAGTTTAAGGCTATTTGGTAAAGTATATACCAGATATCAGGCTCAATTTACAGGGTTTTCTCCTCACAGAAACTTCTCAAAACTTCACCTCTAAAGATTCATATCTTGAAGCTACACACGCTTTAATAGCTGTGCTCCCAAGACTGAACTCATGCTTAATACTACACGCTGTAGGAAAAAGAGAAGGAAAAAGAAAAACAAAAGAAGAAAAGAAAAGAAAACAGAGTCGAAGCAATGTCAGATCTGCATAACCTACAATATTTCATGTTTTCAGTCATCTGTCAGCCTGCAGGGTGCGTGGGATTCGGACTTAAAGTGCTCATCAGGTGAAGAACCAAAGTGCTCGAGTATAATTAAATAGCTGTTCTGCCTATGGCTAAATACATTGCATTTGTTAAAGCAGGTCAAGAGGGGACGCGGTGGTTGGGGCTGTCTCTGTCTCACTGGGTTCAGGCTGTTTTGACCTAAAGTAGTGTTCAGTAGGACTCAAACCTCGGAATTGGGGGCTGCGGGTTACTCATCTTATTGCGTCTTCACCTGAAGACTTCTAAGTGCTGGGTTGCTTGGTTGGCTCTGGAAGGTAGGTGAAGTGGAATAATTCTGTCTTAATTTGTTTTAAATTAAAGCCTCTTGACGGTGGTAGTTACCACTTCTCTCTTCTGACAATGTGAGGCTTGAAAATATATTATTTTCGTTATATTCCATGGCTGGAAATCACTTATCTCTTGAGTTGTGGGGTTTTTTTTACATCTGAAGCGAGCAAGAAGCTTATTCTTGCCATAAATGATACTGCATAGAAAAATAGTTCTAAAAAAAAATACAACTGTAAACCACAGTTCACCTTTACCTTAACATAACCATTTAAACTTAGATATACTTACCACTCACATTCATATTTCTTAAACTGTTTACAACATCACAACTGGCATTTTAAACAAGCAAGATTTTTTTTTTTTTTTTTCTCAAGGATACCCTGGAAACTCAATTGATATAACATTTTGAGAGTTTGAAATATTACATGTAGCGCAGCTCTTGAAATGAAAGAGAGAAGGTTTATAAAATAAATGTTAACACGTAAAAGAACCGTTAAAAAAGCAATGAGTGTTCCAAAGGAGCGAGTATAACTTTTTCTTTACACATCTTGCTACAGAAGATCTAACTTTTTAAGGCTTCCGTTTTCCTTTCACCCATCACTCAAGTCCTCTTGCATTATAATTTTGCTTAGGTGTTGTTATACTGCTTAACAGCAAACGTTTCTCAGTGGACATTCACTCCCACCACCACCAGACTTGCATGCTTCTTGGTTTCTGATGAACTTTGGAGTTTTAGTGGCTGGATATCCCTGTTCATCTCCAGAAACTTGACATGACATGAGAGGCCTAATGTTATTTTGCAGAAACAAAGATGAGAAGAGTGGCAGAGCACATGGGTAAGTATGTTAGCTGGGTTCTAGGAAAAGAAACTGGAGGTCAGAGAGATAAATGGGTTCTTTCTTTCCTGCTCTTTACATTTGTAGCACCTTCTACTTGGATTAGCTAATGCCTCTAGTGAATGGTGAGATGCACCCATTTATAGTTTGTTATTCTTATCCCTAATTATCACACATTTTATAAAAATATAAATAACAAAAAAAGTAAGCTGGGTTCCATCTCAAGAGGTGTTTCTTGTTGTCCTCTGAGAATATATTGGATAAGTCAGGTCTTGACAAGCCCTATCCATTGTAGCTGATTGTAAGTCAGACAATAAATACAAAAAGAAGTCGTTCTTGCGGTGAGCTCAGCAAATTCTGAGGAAATCAAAAGCATTCCACTGTGCTTATGGCACAAAGAACACAACAGCAAGGGCATATTTAGTGGAGAGAATGAGACAAAAATTACCAGGTAAGTGACAAACTGTACAAGCATTTTGTTTAAAAAAGGAACTCTGCAGCATTCTGTCTTTAAAGCCGGGTTTGAGCCTCTGGGATATAGATCTCGATGCTGTCTGCGCGCTCTGTGGCTGAATTCTGCCGGAAAGAGGCTGCTCTCTTGGCAGCCATGAGCCGTCTTCTGGCTTCTTGTCGCTGTCTGTCGGGTAGGTCCAGAGATTTTTCTCTCGTGATAGGGAATTTTCCTTTTGGGGGCTTCTTTGGTACAGGAGGAGGAACCTTCCTTTCTTCCTGCAACAGGGTATTAAAACCGGGGGTGAACTGCGTGCGGAAGGTACCGTCAGCGGAGCATGCAAATTGAAGACAAGAAATGCAGAATACTGGTTACGTACATCAAGCATGCTCAATTTGTGCTCTGCGACCGGCTGGCTAACGGAAGAGCTACCCACACTAGGGGCACTGACAGAACCCTCTTCTTTCAGCAGCTGCCACAAATTCTGCGCTCCGGTGGCCTTAAGAAAGACTACGCTGCCTTCTACCTTCCTTGCGGGTATCCTGCACATGCAACCTGCACGCCTCACTCACATATGAGTTTGTTTAATTTCAGCTGACACATTATTACATTCATTATAAACGGAAACACACACTGGCTCTCCAATAAGAATTCAGCGCATCCGTATAGTCTGATCAAGTGAAAAGTCTGTCTAATATTAGCAGGACAGCTTTTTAAATTAAATTAATCATACTGAGTTTCGCCTCAGCTGGATGTGAGATAGCAGCTGTGTATACATGTCCATTAGTTTAGTCTCCTCTACGAATTGCTAAATGGAAACATGCAAGCACCAACCAGAGAGAGAACACAGGGCTAATTGTTCTGCTTGCCAGCCTGGACCATTTTAAAGAAAATTATATTGAAGAATCATCAAATTATAAAGTGAGAGTCAGTAGATTTTGGTTGCAAAGTAGCTGTAAATTGCTCTAAAGGTTTTAAATCAAGGATTGTTTTGAAGTATGAAATTGATATTTTACTCCATTTACAGACTGAGAAATATCATATAAAGGCCTTAAAAAGATTACGTAGAATCACAGAATGATACAATAGTTTAGGTTGGAAAGAACCTCTGGGGGTGATCTCATACAATCCCCATTCAAAGCCCACTTGAAATTAGAAGTTAAAGAAGGTTTTTCAGCATCATATTGAATACTGGACTGAATAGCCCCAAAGATGGAGAATCCACAAGTTCTTATGTATAGCATGGCTATTATGATTGATCTTTCTGCTGTATCACTTCTTAAAGTAATAGTACTAGTCCAGAGTATGGGCTGTTCCTTATGGAGAACACAGTTAATTTGATGCACAGCAGGATTCAAATAATACAAAAATTGAACTGATGCACCTATGGTTTTCAGACTCTTCATTGTCTGCTTTTTTGTTTAAAAAAAAACAAAACTAATTCTGATTCTACTACCACAATGCATTAGCCAAGACTAAATAACTAAGGTTATTTAAGAACATAGTTCTACACTCTCAACTCAGCTGCAGCAGCCTAAGATGCTATTCCTCAAGAGACCCAGCTCTTCCAGTATTTACTTTCTCTATTTCCTGTTCTCAGCCAGGAACAGAAGGGCTCCATTCCTATCGTCCTATCCTAATGTTTTGGTTTTTTTTTACTTTCAGTTATTTCCCTCTTAGGAATATCACTATTGCTGCCACTATAATAATTTCTTACTTCCAGTTGTCACTAGTAAGCAAGAGTTGAAAACTCACCATCCACCAACCAGTTGGCTGAAAATTAAAATCCAAGAGGAGCATGAAGAAATGAAAGAGTTGTCAAAATGCCTCCTAATTCCTCCCAAACCAAACAAGTATTCACCTGAGGCCAACAGTACTGACTTAAACCAAATGCTGTCTTCATCTGACTGACACAATAATGAGCAAGGGAAGGGGGGATAATCAAGGTGAGGGATGGAGCTCTAGAAGGGGAAGGCAGTTTCAGAATTACATTCCTTTCATGGGCAATTTGCCACCTTTGGTTTATAAGCATCGTGGCTGGGGTGCCTCCCAGGCGGTGGAGTTCCAGCACAGAGGTGCAGGCATCAGTTGTGCCGTGCAGGCAGGATTCTGCACTGTGGGGTTCAGTTTTGAGCTGCCCCAAATGTAGCAGAGTGCTGAGTTTATGTTGATTAACTTTTTGGAACTATTGTCCTCCATCTGAATTAATCAGTACATATTTCAGTTTTAGCCTTTATCGTGTGAATCCAAATCATTTGAACAAAAGTGTTATGGAGTGGACTGACTAAGCAAAATCCATTTGATTTTTGTTCTACAGTTCAGTTCAACATCGTTAAAAAGAAAAAAAACCCTCACATCTGATGAAGGTTTCCGTCTATAAATTGGGCCGTGCCAATTAGATACGTTCTAGGGTTAGAAACCTATTGTATTTCACTATTGGATTTAACATAAGGAGACCGCAGGACTACAAACGGGGAGTAAATGGTATTGTCCATGGTCTGCTTACCTTCCTTTCAGGTGATTCTATTATTTTCCATTCATTGAGTTTCAACTGGTGCAGTTCATCAAACTTCATGCTGACGTCTTCAATGGAGAGCTGCAATAAGTCCCAGAAACCTGCTAGGTCCTGGGAAGTTGGTCTCGGCATGGCACTCGGGTCCTGTCGTGCACAAAGGAGAGAATACGTATAAAAACCCATGTGCTTTGAGGCAGGAAAGGCATCGCACCAGATCACACTGCGACCGTGCTGAGGCTTAGGTGTGGGTTCCAGCTGGGAGCTGGGGCTGGGAAGCTGGGCCTCCCACACAGCCCAGACACGAGTGAGGTGGGTGTCATACCTGAGCCTTCCTGAACCCCTGGGGCAAGGGCAGTTCTTAGCACCATACGCTGTGCTGACCTGCGTTTCTAACACGTAACGAGCTGACAGCCTGTGCCTGCTGGTTATTAAAGGTCCATATTCTAGCCAGCCTGAAGTCTTTCTAGTTAAAAATTACATTCATGATAGCTGATTAGAAGGCAAAACTAAGAATACCATGCAGAAGCCGTCAGCTTATGCTGAATTCCATGTTTACATTGTCCGATGTTTTCAAATGCATACATAAGGTATAAAATTTTGATGGGGATGGTAGGGTTTTGTTCTCCAGAGAGTCAAATCAAGCTCTGGAGCTGGGAAGGCGCTGCCCTCAGGTACTGTGATTAAGTGGTGCTGTATGCACAAGACTTAATGGGGCAAACATTGGTGGTAACAATTTAGCAAGGTAACCCTTCATTTGACTATCAGCCTGATGTCAATTCCATTAAAAAGGTAGAATACAGACTCCTAAGCCTATGTTCTACGAGCATCAGTACTAGTTCAAGAAGACAGGTTTGTCACTTCAACGAAATAGGTTTTGATTTTTAAAGATCTCTGTGAAGATGATGGAGAAACATCTTTTCCCTTCCAGAGCAGGAAGAAGCAGTTAAGATGGTCTACACAATGGAGTTGGGAGAGATGGAGTGGAAACCAAGCCAAAAGGATTCTGGATCTCCCCCTTCCTGGACAAAAAGCTGTAGTGACGAGTTTACTGTGTGAGAAACACTGGTGTTACTGCTGAAGGAATTTTACAAATTTAGTGGACAAAGACACTGCAGATATTGAAGGCAACCCCACATAGTTGCCTGAAAACTGGGAGATAAGTCGGCATTTCTATTGAATTTCTGCCTCAAATTGCACATTTCTAGTGGTCTTACACTGGGAATTGCTCCTCAAACTTGGGTTTGCAGGTGCCACTGTGGGGGTAGGTGCCTGAAGCTGGGCATAACTACGTGTGTTGTCTCCAAACCTAAAGCTCTTTGGGAATCCAGGCCATGAATCAGCCTAAAAGCCTACCCACTTAGAAGTCCTTTTCATTAGAAGAAAGTCTCCTTTTCATAGGGAGCTTGAGGGACTTGGCAGAGCTGGCCATACAGATTATAGCAGACTTCTGGGAAACATGATACAACTCTGACTTAGCGTTCACTGAAAACTTAATTGGGTAGGTACCAATTTACTCTAAAACTATTTAAAATTTCTGTCAGCAGTATTAGTTACTCTGCAGAGGTCCATATCTCAGGCTTCAGGAACCCACTCCCTGGGTAAAATTTGTCGGGACAGTCCCACAGCAATACATCTTATATTGCAATCCGTTCTCTTCAACCCCGTCTCCTCAGTCCCTCTCCCCAGTTTCCTCTGACCATCCACAAAATGACGCCACTCATCGAAATGCCGTTGCTTTCTCAATCAAGGCTAATTGCTCTTCTAGACCTTTCCTTGCCCCACCGCTCATGGTGTTTGGGAAGATCACAGCCTCCAGCGTGGCTGCTCGCACAGGCGTGTGCGGTGCGTTGTCTGGACACAAGAGGGCTGCCTCCTGCTGCTATCGCTGATGGATCCGCAGTCCACGGATACATGCTGGCATGAACCACCACTATCGCAGCTAACTAAGTTTTGAAAAGATTGGCTTCAACCTGTTTCTTCTGAGAAGCTGCTCATTTATTTGTATCTTATTTGGAATTCAGCTTTGCAGCCCTCCTTCTGAAGGAAGCCTAAAGCAAGCAAAAAGCACCTCACCCGTGCTCGAGCTGTCTCTGTTTTTTGCCTGCAACCATGACATATTGAGCGATGATCTCATGAGCTGAGCAGGATCTGTGCTGACTGGAGTATGGAGGAGGACACTTCAAAGGAGAAACAGGGTGTTGCAAAAGATAATGTGAATAATGTAGAAGGGAGTAGTTATTAATCAGTGATGCTTTTCCCTAGCAGTGAGCAGGAATGGTACACTGGAGGAGATAGCCAGCCAGATTCTTAAAAAAAAACACCTTAATTGAAGCTTACATTTTTACAAATTTACCCTAAGTGAGAGTCCTTGGTAAGAGATCTTAACCCAGAGCATAATCAAACGTGTCCCTTGAAGTTGCCATGACCCTTTAGAAAAGTCCACAGGCGACGGGTGAGTTCCCTGCTTCAATTCCAGTTTGAGTAAGCATATTCCTCTCCCTAACCCCTTGCTGCCTCTTGAATCGGCAGACGTAAATGTCCTTGTTCTTTTACCCTACATTTACGCTTACTGTTGTTGATGACTGCTAGAGAAACTGCTGTGTGGCAGCCCTATAAGTGCTGGATGTTTTCAAGTCGGGGAATGCACGATCTGGCTGCTCTCTGGCAGCGTTCCCGTGGGGCACTGAGATGCTGCCTTAGGAGCATATGGAAGCCTGCTGTGGATACGCGCTAAGTGACTATTTAACAACAAACTCTGTCATTAGGCATAGGAAGAAAAGCCTCAAAACATGAATGAGCTAAAAGTACAGTTCTGCAGTTGCTGCTTTCTGCACAGCCCCATTGCTGACTTAATGAAGCTAAAGAATATTCAGAGCCTAAACCTTCAGAGTGGGATACAGCTGCTGTTATGGAGTTCAAAGGTTTATTATCTAAATAAGAAGGAGAAGAATAAAATCTTGCCAGTGCTGCCTGCAAAGCTGTAGATTCCTCCTCATGCTGCTGTTGCCTTTGCAGTAATGAATTGCTCGTGCTTCCAAAGAGCTGACGGCTGTGCTGAGCAGGAGCTGCGCTCCTTATTACAGTAATGCTCTCGAGCACAAGTGCTGGACCCACTTCAAGATAAATGAAGTGGAGTGGAGGTTAGGCTCTCCAAATCTTAGTTTGCATAGCTTAATCAATCAGGTAATGGAGGGCACTTTGAAATTTGCAGCGAGAAACTTTTAGACATTGATGAAGATTTCCTTCTTTCGCTATGAAACAAATGACTAGATAGGGAGCACACATGATGTATTTGATACCACAAACGTGGTCATCTCCTGCTTGCCTGACTTTGCATATTTCCTCTGTCATTCTGTAACAGCTATTAAAATTCTTGTTTTGACAGAGTCTTTGAAGTGGATAATTGGATTCTTTCCTAATGAGGACCATATATCTTATCATTTTCTATCAGAAGGTAGGACATTTTTGGCATGACTTTCTCAGTAAAATTTGACTGCAGTTTCAGGAATGCTGGATCTCTAACTTTATGGATGGAGAGTAGCAAGTAGGTCTCCGCAGAATGAATGTTTCGCCTTAAAAATTTATGTGGCAAATACTAAGAAGTAAAGAAATGCATCTAGCCTGACATATAGATCTTGTCTGCTCTCATGCACGCAACAGAATTCAGAGTTTTTAATATGAGGGGTAGGGATAGTCAAAAGGTGAAAGTTACGCTTGACTTTCAAGTGAGCGGCAGGACGTAGGTGCTCTAGCACCAGCCATAGCTAGAAGAATTTCGTTCTTCTATTGATGAGTATTGTCTTGCCACAATGTTTATATCACTGATGGCGGCTGTCATATTAATGAAGATAACATTTAGAATTGAATTAGTCTCTAATGAATTTCCAGAACAATAGCAGTAACTCTCACAAGTAATATACTGCATCTGTTCTTTTAGCCCTAGGACATCTTATATATAATTGGCAATGCAAATTATGAAATCCAATTTTAAGAACATTATGTATATTCCTATTTCCAAGATCAGTCCTATTTTCAGGTAGGTAGAAAGCTGGATCACTTATTCTTTGCTATTCTGCAATTTTACTATTCTCCCTTACTGTAATGCAAAAAACATCTCATTTCTTACCAGAAATATAGTTACTATTTTAGGGCATTACAAAAATAAGCCATAATATTATGTCTCAGCTTATGTTTTCAGAAAACTTGCATTTGTTCCTTTCTTATTTCTTTAATAAACACAGCAAAGAAAGAAAAGACAAAATGCAGCCAGACTGAAATTACTGACATTACATGTTTGCTTTGACAAAAAAATGCACTAACACCATACCTAAGGATTAAGTTAAAAAAAAAAAAAAGAAAAAGAAAAAGAACAGTAAGACAAAATGTGAGACATGAAAATGATATTTCAGAACGCTTCTGTCTTGGTGCACTACATTTGTTTTGGTTGTTGCTTTTGAAGTAAAAGTACTACATTCTAACATTTCAATTTATGTTTTGTATGAATAGCCTTAAACTCTTGAAGAATGGCCGGACATGGTGACTTACCAGATTCTGCTGACAAAGCCAATAAAATTGCTGGAATTTCTGAGACATGAGGAGCTGAGCACTTCCAACAGCACTTCGGATCTTACCTAGGACTAAGCATACAGACAACTTATTTAAATGCAAAATTGAGCTCAAAAAAACATGTATCTGAAATCACTGTTTATTTTATAAGGGAAGCAAATATTTGGTTTTGCTCTTTGTTATTATATACATAAAATATTTTTGAAAAAAATGGAGATACAGAAAAGCTCTGTGGCACCTTACTCTTTGGCAATAACAAATGATAGATTAATAACTCTGAACAGCTAAGACTGTATTTAATTAAGGAAGTAGAAAAAAAACAGGGAATATAGACAGCTTCCTGCAGTGGGCATACATACATATGTTTTTGAGAACAATCTTAAATTTCAAAGTAAATGACAACTCCCCCACCCCATTTACATTTGCTCGTGTAAATTGAAAGCTGTTGAAATAGTCTTGCCTCAAGAACCAGTTAGATGCCTGTTGCCTCTGATGCTAAAGAGAGCTTCACATGTACCTAAGATAATATCTTCTGGTTCTGCAATCACAAATGACTTCACCCGAATGCGTGGATGATCCCTGAGTGAGCTGTGTTACCCCGTCAATTCTGGGGGTAAGGTTAATATAAATGCATAAGGATGAGATCCACAGAGGAATCACGTCTCTGAGACATGTCTTGGTACCTCCATAAGAGGTACAGGTTGCCGACCCAGGAAAATAGACAAAGACCTAAGCAAGGAGCTTCAGACAAAGCGAGGGTGCTCCAGGACTTTGCTGACTCATGATCAGGCTCACAGTTCGTTGGGCTTTCCCCACTGTCAGTGGACTTGCCATTTACAGTGTCCATCAGCACCGAGGAAATTCATTTTACTTGCCTTTGCTTCCAAGGGTCATCTGTCTAAATCAAAATTTCTGGATGCTCTATAATCAGTAATCTGAGCTCATCGGCTCGGCCACGTTAGGCACTTATTTTTAGATGAGCTGAATCTCTTCGTGGAGATGCCTATTTCTTTCTATTGACTTGCTTATCCCTAGAAAACCAACTCCTCCTGGACTCCCACATTTGCTGGAATAAATACCATACTTTGGTATGGTACATACTTTCCTACACCTCCTTCCTACACTTCCTTTCCTCCTCTTCCTTTCTTCCACTTCTCTATGCTGAAAAAGCAACACTTTAAAAAAGCATTATAAGCTGGGGTTTCAATGGAAGATTGAGTTTATCCAGCAAATTTCCAGATCTTTAAATAACGCTTAAGGGAAAGACAGAGTGAGGTAGGGGCAGGGGTGAGACAGGAATTACTCTGACATCCTTTATTTCAATTTGAGGAAACCAAATTGATAATTCAAACAAGATGAAGAGGGTGGAATGAAGCTACCATAGTACAGCAGGCCTGATCTGCAGCCTGTGATATAGAAAACATTAAACTCTGGCAGGGTGTAACATTTTGCTGTTATTTAGAATAAGTATAGGCTAGATCTGAGTGGCATGTGGAAAAAATATTTTGTGAACAGGTAATACATTTTGATGGTGCTTTCTCTAGACCAGTGAAACATCAGCTTAACCACAAGAAGCAGCAAGAGATAATTTGGAAGTTTTGGAAGAAGGTTCCAGTTCTGTGGAAACATACAAACTCTGTGACTTTAAATGCATGTAGAGCGATGCCTCTCAAGCTCTGTTCCAGTTTCTGTTAAACAAACAGTACAGCTGTGCCACAACACTAAATTAAACAGCAATATGCATAATTCATCAGTCCTGTGTAGCACCATTTGTGAAAGGGTTAAGTGGTTCAGGGCTGCATGAGTAATTCACTGGGCTTTTGTCAGCCAAATGAAATAAAGCATTTTAATTGGTTGGGGGTTTTTGATCACCAAACCCCTCACTTTCCTCTGTGGAGTTATTGACATATGGAAAGTAATGTTTTGGGTGTTAAAGCCTGAACAACGTACAAACATACAAATACCTGAACAAAACCCATAAATTAAAAAAGAAATGTTTCATCTAATCTGAAACAAATTGCCTGGATTTCCTTTTTATAATTTTTAATAACGGCAAAGACTTATAAATGACAAACAGCCTTGTATCCTCCTTTTCCCTTGGTGTTCTATAGCTCAGGACATAAGACAAACTCCCAGGGTGGAGTCAGAATCCCTTCTTTCCTAGGATGGGGAACCATGTTGTAGCAGGAATTGCCTGTTCCGTGCTGTGTTCAACTATTTACTGAGCAGAAAAAGTGAGGATGATTCTGTGGGCTGATGGTTGTAGTGCTTGTCTCATAGTGAATAAAGTTCAGTTTTAGTTTCCTCTGTTGAACTTTATATTTCAAACCTCAAATATAGATACTAAGGGGCATTGGTTTTAGCCCTACTGCAGAGACGTAGATCTTCACAGAATCTCTATATGACTCATGTTTTCCAGCGAGTCTCACAGTTACCCCAACCCCCATATTAAGTGAACATTTGTTTTATCTTCATTATCCTGAGGGATCATGTCCAGAAGCTTTGGTGATTTAAAGCCCAGTCAGAGGAGACAAGACTCAGGCACTGGCAGTGCAGCATTTTGGTGTGACACCCATCCTTTGGGGATGCAAAATGGTGGTTCTGGGCTACTTGCATGTGTCACTGCATCACAGTGGTGAATACACATGTATAATTACAGCCCGACCATTTACTAAATATCTAACTCTATTTCCATTTCAATAAGTAAATCAGACATAATAAAACATAGAAGTCAGAATCTCTCATATTCATGCTACTCTGCTTTGCTGTAATTAAATTAAAGTATTAAAACACTTCAATTCATAATCTTTAGCACAATATTAATAGACAGCCAAAGCCTTGTTATTAATTTCATGCATTGGGGAATTATTCTGATGAGTGCAGATTGATTATCTCCATGAAAGAATGATGAATGTTAGAGACTGGAGAGATTGAGATGTTTGGTGATGCCTAGAAGATTTTGCCTGCAAATAAATGATGATAAAATCTACCAACACACATAAATACATATAATTTTCACATGATCCATATACCTCCCTCCATTAAGATAATATTTACTCGAATGTGAGGAAAGAGTCACACAACCTTAATTCTGCTTCCTGAAGCGTGTGAATCACTCCTTTTTTGTTGTGTGGTCCTGTGTGGCTTCTACTCTGGAGCCATAGAAAACCCTGACCATGACTTCAGTAGAAGCAGATTCAGGATTTATATCCTGGTTAGAGATTGTGTAAGTTGCCTGTATACAACATGCACAATTAACACATTGGTGTCTTTTCCCCTGCAATAAGTATATTAGAAAATTGCAAGTAATACATAGCTGTGTTCTATTGCTCGAGAAATGCTACAAAATCTTGCCACTGAAAATGGTTTCACATCACAAAGGTAGAGGGGGAAAAGGTAGATCTATATTGATGAAACCAAGATTATGGGCTGATGCTGTAACTCTGCTTTTGACAGGTTAAAAGCTTTGCTCAATTGTGCCGCTGCTGCACCAGCAACGAGAAACTACTAACAATCAATCTGCTTCTGGCATTCATTACTGTTTATTTAAATGATGTGTTTTAATTTAAATTTTCATTCCATTTGATTGTTCCGTATTTTTTCTATACTTGTAAATAAATTGCTCCACGCACAATCTGAGAAAATATGTCTGGGAAAAAAAATTAAGGTATTCAAACTGGCATTTAGACCGTCCTCCTAACTCAAAGCAGGGCATAATATTTGTCTGATCTCTAAACCTAAATTAGTAATCTTCAGAAATGTATGTCTTTTTCACTATCAACACAGCAGGTAGGTGTAATAGTAAATGTACAATGCTCAGAGTGAGATGACATTTTAGGACAGCAGAGCTACAAGCTGAGAGTGCTCTGGAGAGCAGGCAGAGCAATGGGGTCCTTGTGCACCAAGTGAGACTCGGTGCAAATTTGCTTTATAAGTTGCTCAATGGAGCTGAGTTCAAAGAGGAGAACATTTGGGCAAAACAATACAAATGCTAGGAGGAATTCTCAGATTCCCCGCTATGGGACTGTCTTTTATTGACTTTAAAGACTGTTTCAGGGCAATTAAGACATTCTGTAGTCATTCTCAACACTCCAAATGTAAATTTCAATAGCTCCTGAAGGATAAGTTTGTGAAAAGCATTAGGAAATTATGTTAGTAATTTTTCTTTGGATAAAGGATAACCCATATTTGGTCAAACACCTAAGAAAGCTTTTATGGATGATCAATTGACAAATATATTAAAATAAAGTGGTTATGGGGTGTGGGGTTTTTTTCCCCCTGAAGTATGGGAGATTTAACTCTATTTTTGCTGTTGCTATTCAGCTGTATTAGTAAAACCCTTGCAGTACTGTGGAAATATCAGCCAGAGGATTAGCAAGGAAAAATCCAGCATCTGTGGAATGAAGGGGGGAGAAGGGTTCACTCTTTCTAATGCCTTTTCTCCACTACAGGTCACTGTACATAGTACTATGTAGCTATGCCAGCAGAGCTCCTAACCATGATGCCAAAGATCCCAGCAAAACAACCTTTCTGCTGGTATAGTTTATACTACAGTTAATTTTGTTGAACCTATCTTTGGATTTTCACATGAGTGTGAACTCTGTGTGGCTCTTCTCCATTTGACTTGTGTGCTGACATATTTCAGTGGCCAAGCATGTGGCATGCAGAAGCCCAGGATGCCTTCTGCTTCCCTCTGCCAGAGCTTGCCTACAGGCTGGGCTCCCCCCCTCCCTGCTCCCATCACAGAGCTCGTGGGTGGCAGAGTCCTGGCCCTCCTGCTCTTCAATAGCTTTGTGACAACTGAGGGTGTTTTTCTTGTCATCACCTCCACGCTGGTAATAGCCAAACACAATTTTCAGGGTGTAAAACTGAAACTCCAGTCAGCACCCTTGAGAAACACATATCTTTGCTTGAAGGCACCCTGCTGGTACAAATGATCAGATGGTTTACCTTGGGAACAGTTACAGCCACATATATATTTTTTATATATATCTATATATGTTATAATAAACACTGAGAACACAAATAACTGCCCCCACAAGCAATATATGAACTTTGCAGAGAGACCAAAATACAATTCATGGCAACTGACCAAATAAACAAATTCTGTGAAAAGAAAGAGAGAGAGGTTATTTTTGCTGCAATGATTATCTTCTCCTTTTCTAAGACCTGATGAGTGAAGTTCTTAAAACAACATTATGGCAGAAAAGCTACAGTGAAGGAAAAAATCAATACAGCAATCAGACAGCTTTCTGTGATCTCAGGGCTATTGTGTTAACGCAGAAAATGAAATTGTTTTCTAAAATGCAGTTCTATTTTAACTCTTCACGTGATTAAAAGAAAATAGAAATGGTATCATAAAGACAGACTTCTCCTATGAGATACAAAGCTATATTTGGTCTTCAGGTACAATTAATATAACCAGGCCAAAAAATAACTGATTCAGCATTAACAATGACAGTTTGAATGTGCAAACTTTGCTGTGAAGTGTTTTGGGAATAGTAGCTCCTGCTGGAAGATTGAAAAACAGATATAGTTGCTTCTGGATCCCCCACTTGCACGTATTTTCTTCAGGGAACTGCCAAATGCTTAAATATGTCAAGATACATTTAATGCTGGGATATCATTAAACTTTAGTTCTTGTGGCTACATATCTTTCAACTTCCATAGCTCAAACTGGGGATACAAAATATGTCAAAGACTCAACAGGAAAAAAAATTATTCACCCTGCAATTTTAAAATACTGTGAAGCTCGTTCCCTCAGCGAAAATAATTCTTTGATAACTTCCTTTCACTTGATGTAAGATGTATTAGGTGAAGCAATACCATTTCAAAGATAATGCAATCTGGAAATTATTTGAGGAAGATCTCTTGGAATGAGTCACATAAAATAGAAAATCAGAAGTCTGAATGTCACTTTTTAAAAATAAACTCAAGACAAACATCTGATTTTGGGTACGTTATATAGACCTATTCTATAATAATTTCTCTAACCTATTAGGGAGGTCACAGTGTTCCCCCAAACACAAGTAATTAACCTGTTTTTGTTAGTTTGGAAAGAGGATTTCAAAGGTGCATTTCAGTTGTGCTTTAGTAACTCTGTATCAAGGAATTGCTTTTTTTTTTCTCTTACAGAGTCACTCTGCAAATGGGAAAACAAAACCCTGATGTTCTGGTTTGTTTTCTGACTGATATGTTCTAGGTTAAAAGGGTGTCACTAACTCCAAATATTAACAAAAATTGCTAAAGTCTTCATGTCCTCTGTACGATTTCCTGAAAACTCTCTTCCTAATTGCCATTTCCCCCTTGCAGCAAGGTGTTTCAGAGTATTCCTGGAGTGCAAGAGCATAGCTTCACATGGTGGGCCTGCACCTGGGAATGGGTAGCCAGCTAAAATCAGCTTCTCCAAATTTTCCTATTGTAGCACATAGATTCATATCCTGGAGAATAACACTGCTACCTCCCTGTCCATGCCTCCCAGTGAGGAAGGAATACTGACGTGAGAGGGTTTCCACTGCTCATTTCATGTGGCTGCAGATTTGATTAGGGCTGTGCAGAAGAGAGGAGGTAGGAGAAGTCCAACCTTTGCCTGCAGAGCCCTCACTGCCCTCCTAGGGAAAGAGAGGGGTAACAGCCTCTGTGTTTCTCACCTTTGCTCCATAATAATTTTACTCTTTCCAAGCAGATTAAAGTCTTGCTCTTTGAACCTCTGCTTCAGAGAGTAAGCACTGATGTCCCCATATCAGGAACAGGCAACCTTAGAAGCAGGTGCATTGAGATACTTAATGATGGCAGAGAAATGACAGTATGCAGCAGTGCAAAGATTTGGGGAACTGAAAAATAAGATGCATATGGTAAAAAGAAGTATTAAAAAAATAACTATTATGAAAGAAGGCTTGGAAATCCTCACACTGCCTAAACAAAGCAAAACATTTTGTTATTCGTACTTTAACAGCCCCTAGAAGGGTATTAAAGTATTCAAAGTGTCAATGCAAAGTTAATATTCTCAGCTCAGCTCTGCCGTGATGAAAAGAAGGACAAAAACCTACACTCCAAAAAGCACTGGAGGCTGAAGGAAGAAAAACATCCTATTCTTTCCCCCTCCCCAAATCCTATGTTGTTACTTGGCAGACTTGCACACAATACAGTGGAGAAATATGACTGTAAAATAATATATAAAAAAAAGATGAAGTAAAAATGTAGACATTCTTTCTTTTGAAAAGGTCAGCACAAGAAATAGAAATTGGCCTTTTAGTCACCATGCAGGCCTGCCCCAAGACCTGAGGGTAGATCATAGCAAGAAGTCATTGAGGGGAAAAAAAAGACAATCAGGAAAGAGTATTGGGAGGCAATGGTGAGATTCGTGAGAGTGCAAGAAGAGATGCTAGTAAGAAAACTTAGTATGAACTAATTTGTGATCTGAGAAAATCTCATCTGAGACAATAATTCAGATTGGCAGGGATTGAAATATTTATAAAACTGAGCCTGAAGAACAAGGATAATTGACCTCAGAGGGAATCACAGGGAGCTGGCTACTGAGTGCTAGGACCACTTTGATATATTACTATCATTAGTGCTGGCTTGAATTTTGTTCCAAAATAGTCTACATTATTTTTCACTTTATCCCATCACTCCTTTCAAGGTGTCCACAGGACGTGAGAGAATAATAATGATTCTTGACAAAACTGTAATAAGAAAATGCAGCTGAACTATCTAATATTGCACATGCCTGTGTAACTGCAGAAGGGCTTTAACTATTGTTCTTGCCTACTCCTTTCTGTTCTTCCAACAGACCCTTTCTAGGGGTGCAGAAGGGCCTGTAATCAAATGAAAACCATTTTAAATGTGGCTGTTCCTTAATAAGAGGCAAATTCTCAGTTTTCATGAAAATGGCAAAAAGGTTCACGTAGGACCACCTTGTGTGCTCTGTCTAAGGGTCAAGCACTGGAGCCACAGAGGTGAGTGGGAAGAAAGTGTCAGTGGGAGCTGTGGATGGAGCTATTGCACCATTGGAGCCCTCTCTAATACCAGACTTGGGCTCCTCAACTACTTCCACAGACCCTGACTCTGGGAAATGCCACCTTGCATGGTCAGTTGCAGAACAGGAGTCTTACATCTAATGGTTCTGTAGAGTGTCTTGGGTACTACAAAATGAGTAAGGAAAAAACAGACCACAACTTCATCCTAACAGATTTCTTATTTTAGCAGACATCTATAAGAAAAAATACCAAAATGTTCTTACTTTCTTCAGAAAGATCGTTTTCTTCTGCTTCTCTTTCCATTTCTTTACACCATCCTTCCATTCTCTTAGTTTCAGTGTGTAGCAACTTCATAAACCAAGATCCATCCCGTCGACAAGGCGACATTCGACCAGTCTCTACTGTCTCAATGGCTGGCTCTAGCCAGGGTTCTGGTGGTGGAAGGTTTGTGGTGTCAACTGGGGTCCTATAATCTTCTCTGTAACTGAACAGTCCCTGTGTCCGTACAGTTCTCACTGCGCTGTATTGGGTGGGTGTGCTGGGCTCTGAGTGCTGCTGGAACGACGAGCCAAACTGAAGTCCCTTGTCCTCCATGGTGATGTGTCCTGGAAAGCCCTCCAGTTCCAGGTCAGCCTGGACAGCTGCTGTTACACTGTTTGAGCGCTTGAATCGTCCGTGTCTTGGTGAAGAGGGAAGAAAGAAAAGAGATTTAGACATATAAATACATATGTGATTATACAGAGGCATAGAATAATGTGAACGGATTCTGGTTTCCTCCTTTGACTTTATCCTAAATATTTTTTCTTTGTGCATATCTCACTAAAATAAGACAGTGACTAACAACAGAGAGGAAAAGCCAAAATGCATAGTGGCATCATTGATCTGAGTAAAGATACAAAAGAAAATCATTTAAATTATCTCTGGAAGCAACTATTGATTTATTCTCATACTACAAAATACCACGTATCATTACTAAATGAACTGGAAATAATTAGCAGAACTGCAGGGTTTCATCTCCTGATAGAAGTCTGTAAAGTACACGTACAAAAAAAGTCAAATATTAAGAACTGTAATTAGATAAAATCTGAAAATCTGCTAAGTTAGGACTATTGAGAATCCTTTAACAAAGAAAAGTAGTAGCAGCAGGCTTAAGACTGTGGCATTTTTTACTTGCCTCATAGGATGGCCATTAAATGTTGATTTTCTATTGTGATATGCCACCGAATAATGACATTTTAGAAAACCTTTATGTTAAAAAGTTAGGTAGAGAAGTAAAGATTATTTGTGAAATCTTTTCACATCTGAGTCTATTGTTTCAAATTACTTCTAGTCAATGATGGTAAAAGGCAATTAGCAGCCAGATACTGTCTGACAGCTGCTGTGAAATGAGATAACGGTCCCAGTCCAGTACTTAACAGGCGGTGCCTGCCAGGGATAACCCGTGGGTTAGTACATCAGCCAGCAGTTTTACAAAGCTAGAGAAGGACTGAACAAGCATAAAAGCTGATTCTAGATTAGGATAAAGGTACCATGGGTTACATCGTAACCATTACATCCCCCTGGCTGGACTGGGAAAGCCCGGATGAGCATGAGGGATCCTATCAAAGGAACAATATTCCATTATACAGCTCTTTGCTTTTTTTTTTTTTTTTTCGCGAATAATGAAATTATATTAACCCACTACTTTTAACATTTCACTTCCTTCCAATTAAAAACTGGAAAATTAACTAAATATTAAGCAACTGCTAAGTAATCTGTACAAATCTTATCAAATGACCAGCATGCATATAAGAAATTTGGCTTTGTGAATTATTTAGGAGCAGCACGCACTTGACAGATGTTTGTTATTAACTCTGTTCACAAATGTGCGTTGTGTTATGAAAGACTACAGATTTTTGTACATGCTTGAATTACCGTTTTTCATCTTCCACTTGCACTCCAACAGAGTGGTATTCCCGTAGGCCTCTGCTTTCGGTATCTGAATCAGTTGCTGTTTCCACCTAATTCAACACAAAAGATACATCTGCAGAGTGAGCACTGACAACTCAGCACTATTTCTACCTGCACGCATTCAAAAATCAATTATGTATTTCCTATCTTGCTGCTAAGGAACACCTAGCCCAGTAAAATAAATGGAACAGGTATTCAGCCTGGTACCATTGTTTTGGTGCTGTGTTTTATAAAGCTTTGCACAAGTACTTCTGTTCTGCTGTGTAATTCCCTATTTCAAACCTAAGCAGATGCAATTACTCAGCTCAGTGGACGCAGGGAGTATGCTGGGTCTGGAAGAGATGTTCTTAGAACGAGGAATCCACAGGATAGCCCCTTCTTATATTATTATAAAACAGTCTCATTATGGTCCTTGATTTACAAAATAAAATAAAATCTCAAGTAGCCCCATAAACTTGCAAGTGATAAAAAGAAATGCCGCAATGAAATTTTATCGACAACTGCGTTGACAAATATAGAACCATTTAAATGACGTGAGGGATACAGCAAAATGCCATCTCTCACCTTTTTTAATAACATGATCCTGAAAATGCTATATCAAGCAAGTAATTTATGCACTTTTTATAGTATTCCCATCTGAAATACACTTACCGAAATATATTCACAGTAGAGTTTTCTTCATAACTGAGGCCACATTGCTTTTGCAAGTTTCTGTGGGATTTTATATAACACTCCCCACCACCACACCGCCCCCAAGTCTTTGACACAGACATAACGAGTGCTGCAGTATGCAAATTATACAGAACCAAGGGAGAGTCAGGAGAAAAGAAACCCAGTAGAGAAGACTTCCTTTTGAATGATATTTTCACTGTTAAAAACCACAATATCAGCAATCAGTTTTTCAATATGCACAATGTGCATTCAAAGAGTATCTCCTACGATGACGACAGGGTAACTTTCCCCCTTGCAGCAGTCACAGGCATCTCTGGAAGGAGCCCAATGGCCTTTGCAGCTTCTCTCAGCTGCACAGCCCCAGTCCCACCAGGTTCCTGGAAGGACGCAGACAGAAGGGGGAGGAGGATGGGAAGTGAAGGTACACGTGGACTATACTTCTTGAAGAAGCCAGTTGCTGGTAACTTCTCTTTCCATCTTCAAGCAGTAGTTCCGTGTAGACTTGCACGGAAGAGAATTCCAGCCAGTAATCAGTACATTCATATATATCTGGATGTATGTCTTGGAGGTGTTCATGAAAACAGCTGGTGCAGGAACCCTTTAGTAAATATTAACAGCATACTTGAACTGCACAGTGTAGCATGAGGCACAGGTTTGTCAAAATCTCTGGATATCAGTGTGGCAACTGCCAGGGAAAGACACATTTCCCCGTGATTCCATTTATTCTGCATGAGGTTGAGGGGAAAGCGTGCACTGCTGTCTGTTTCCACCTCGGCAGTGGCATGGAAACTGGCTATATTCACTTGGATGGGCAGCGCATTGAGAGAATGAAGATATCAGGCTTGGCAACAGTCTCCAGGATTTCGTATCGTCAGTAAAAAAAGAAAGATCCCTCCTGACGTTGGCAGCAAAAAAAAAAGCCGCAACCACAGAGGTAGGCAGCTTGGGGTAAAAAAGAGGCACAACAACCAACCAAAAAACAGGCAAGTTGGTTTCCTAGTTAAGGTAGGTCTTGACAGCGATGTGGGTGAGAAGCTTAAGCTGTACCATGAGGGTCACCCTCTCCTGAAAGAACATTGCTATAAGTAGAACAGCTATAAGGTCCAGTTTCTTAATGCAAGACACATCTATCAGGAAAGACACTATTATTTATAGCATAGAAGGGTCCAAAAGAGTCTTTAATAGTAAATTCAAGTCTAATCGAGGGACTCGTCATGGAAACAAAGTACTGGCTGTGACAGAGGGTAGAGGATGAATCTTCTGCAGAGTACGTGGTCAAAGCAAACACAGTGGAAGGTAACCATGTGAACAGGTAGGATGTCCCAGCGTTGAGCATAATAGCTCTCAGGGCAGTGACACACGGAACTTTTCTACCTCCTGACTCAGAAGTTTGACATACAATGGACAAAACTGCCAACCTGGACATTAGGAACAGTAGGTAGTCAGGGTGATTTCGAGGCTGTATCTCTCTCCTTACAGAAGCAGGAAGAAATGTCAAAGTACAATGACCAGTTAGTCAAAGGCTGGAGAAGAGACTGGGCCTTTGTGCACAGCCTTACATGGCAGTGCTTCTGACAAGGTCTAATGACTGTGTAAGGGAAAGTCACAGTGTAACTGATCGCAAACGGCAATCCCCAGGCATGGAAAGAGTCATTGACTCTCTTTGGGTTCTTGAGACTTCTTCACACCAGGTAAGACGCTGATGCTGATGGCATGACGAAGTCAGCACACATGGATTTCTCTGGACCACAGCTAGGATGATGTTGGACAGGCAACATGGTTCCACTAAAGGCAAATTTTTCCTGATAAATTTGGTGGCATTCTACAGCAGAATTACAACATTGGTAGATAAGGGAAGAATGACTGATATCATCTACCTGGACTTGCGGAAAGCATTTGATACTGTCCCACACAACATCTTGTTTCCTAAATGGAGAGACATGGATATGATGGGTGGACTCAGTGGATAAAGAACTGGCTGGATGGTCACACTCAAAGAGTGTCTTGATGTCCCTGTGGAGACCAGTGATGGGTGGTGTCCCTCGGGGGTCTGTACTGGAACCAGTATTATTTAAAACATTTTTTGGAGACATGAACAGTAGGATTGAGTGCTCCCTCAGCAAGCTTGTGGATGACACCAAGCTGAGTGGTGTGGTAGATATTCCAGAGGAAAGGGATGCCATTCAGAGGAACTTTGAGAGGCTAGAGAGGTGGGCCTGTTCCACCCTCATGAAGTTCAACAAGATCAAGTGCAAGGTCCTGCCCCTGGGTTGGGGCAATCCCAAACATGTACACAGCCTGGGCGATGAATGGGTTGAGAGCAGCCCTGGGGAGAAGGACTTGGAGATGCTGGTTGATAAGAAGCACAATACGAGCCAGAAATATAAACTTGCAGCCCAGAAGGCCAGCCACATCCTGGGCTGCATCAAGCATGGCCAGCAGGTTGAGGGAGATGATTCTCCTCCTCTGCTCCGCTCTCCCACCTGGAGTGAGACCCCACCCGGAGTGAGACCCCACCCGGAGTACTGTGTTCAGCTCTGGGGCCTCCAGCATAAGAAATGGACGTGCTTGAGCAGGTCCAGGAAGGCCACAAAGATGATCAAATGGCTGAAGCAGCTCTCCTATGAGGGCAGGCTGAAAGAGTTGGGATCGTTCAGCCTGCAGAAGAGAAGGCTCCAGGGAGACCTTATAGCAGCCTTCCAGTACTTAAAGGGGGCCTACAGGAAAGATGCGCAGCAACGCTTTATCAGGGAGTACAGTGATAGGACAAGGGGTAACAGTTTTAAACTGAAAGAGGGAAGATTTAGATTAGATATTAGGAAGAAATTCTTTACTGTGAGGTAAGTTGTGGATACTCATCCCTGGTAGTGTTCAAGGCCAGATTCGACAGAGACCTGAGAATCCTGGTCTAGCTGAAGGTATCTCTGCCCATGGCAGGGGGGTTGGAACTAGATCTTTAAGGTCCCTTCCAACCCAAACCATTCTATGATTCTATTGAACTGGGTTGAAGGAAAGGACCAACATCATTACTTCCATTTGTGGGATTGTTGATCAAGATCCTTGAACTTGTTTGGATGAACTGCAGCTCCAGATGATGGTGTCAGTGATGCCGGCACAGGCTCCACAGCATTACAAGCCTGAAGGTTTGATAAGGCAAAAGAGGCTTATAGGTGGCCAGGCTGAAGAAGTTGAGCAGATGGGAACACAGGATTCATTAGCGTCTCCTGCTCTCCCACATGCTTCAGCAAGGAGGGACTCTGCACTGCACTCCCTTCATAGAGTGATATCCTTAGGATGACCATTTCTAGACCCAATGCTCCTTGGGACTACTGACTGATGTAGAGGGCAGATTGCTGGACATGGAAATGGGCTAAGGAAGGTCAATGGTATCATACCTGTGGGGCTAACATACAGCTAGTGACACTGTGGAGGTGAGCAATGGTCAATGGACAGAGAAGATACTTTTGCCTTCCCTGAGGATGTCTCAGCATCTCAGACATCGTGCTGTTAGAAACATGATGGTCTAAAGATATAAACAAGGAAAGGTTCCTACGGATAACATCAATTTGGTCAACTGATGTTGTTGAAACAAAGCAAGCGGACTGGCAACACACATTTTCTTCCGTATTGAATATCAAAAGCAGACCTGTTTCTGCCAACTATATTGTTTGGTTTAGTAACAGATAGCAGGTCTTCTTTTGAACTCTGCTTCTGATGTGTGGAGGCAGATTTCCCTTTTATATACTGGATGGGCTGGTATTTTTCCATTGGCGCAACACATTGAGAAAAAGTCTGTTTCATTTACCTGTTATCAAGTGCCTTCTTATTGATATTTCACCTAAAAGTATAACCTGAATAATTTGCCGATATGCAATCGACACCTAGAATTTACAGGCATAAATGAAGTAATCTGCTCTAAAATATTATTCAAAACAAAATTATCAGGAAAATGATGGCCCAGGTATCAAAATAAAATGACATTAGTTACCTCTAAATATAAACCTTTGCCAAATTATCCTTCTCTCCAGCTTGCCAAGACTGACACTGACTAAATGACCTGATGATTGCCTTCATATTTTAATGCTTTCATTTCCTCACTGTGCCTCGTAGCAGCAGGAGAATGCCAATTTCTGTGTGTGTGCAATCTAGGATTGCAAATATTTTAACAATCAACAAAAAAAAATAGATCTGGAAAATGGAGGCAAATGCCAACACAAGTAAAAGTGAGAAATAACAAAATAATTTGCACTCACAAAGAAACAAATGGACAAATAAATTGCATTTCTGAATGACACATATTATAAAGTCTCCTGCTAGAAGACAGCAGGAAACTCTTTAGATTTAATCAGATTGGCCGGGCTAGATTCAAATGAGCAGA